AACATGTCACCTTCCAGCCAGTTCAGCTCCAAAGAGACCCCACTTACTCACTTACCCCCATGGAGGATAGTCAAGGAAGAACTGCAGCACACACTGTAAAATACACAGTGCTTCTTGAGTTGGCTTCTTTTTAAGCCTGTTCAGTACACTCTCTTCTGTGAAGCAATTTTACATGGCCTTTGGAGCACTTCAAATACTTGAATGTGCTTTATCTACACTGTTTATTTAAATATGTAGCTGGTTTCCTGCAGCTAACAATGACTTTCCAAAGCTAGCCACTGGAAACTGTTGCGGTATGTTGGGAAGCTGAATCCAATTCAATAGTACATTGAAACTTACTAAATTTATGGCTTTTTGTAACAATTGTTTAAATTTGGACTAGAGACCTCTAATGGGACAATCTTCTTCCACTTTATATATTTAATATGCATTTGCTGCCTTTAACAGCAGTGCCAATATTACAACAAACACTGCTCTGGTCACTTGAAAGCCATCTTTGCTGAGATACTAAAGACCCTTTTGGCCAAGAAGTGGAACTGTAGTATAGCTCTCAAATGTGGGGTTCCGAATGGTCAGGATTTTCATAGGAAAAACAAACTAAAAAAAAATCTGAATAATAGCTGTTGGTTTCTTATAAAATCTACTCAAAATATGTAAAAGTCGAGTTTAGAATAAAAGGTCTAAAATGCTATGACCTATAAATGATTAGATTTAATAGTCATAAAAGTTGACTCAGTGTTGATTGTGCTAAGTTTGGAAGCAACGAGATTGTTTAAGTCCATTTCATTTTTGGCTAGAAAGTGATCCTAATGCTCAGCATTAATAAATCAATCCTTTGGGGCCCATTCTCACCAGTTATCAGTCATATTATATCTGACTGGAACTGGGAATTTCTGTTCCTCTTCATTCTTAATCTCCCTTTTGCCTTTGACAGTTTACTACTCGGTTTGTTCCAATGGCACAACACAACATTCTCACAGTTTCATTCCTACATGTCCCTCTAGTGGCTTCCTATTCCATTCCACCGTTGCCTTGTGTACCCAAGTTTCTTGCTTGTGGGAAGTAGTTCAGTGCAAATTGTCTTCTGCGTTCACTCACAAACTACATGATCACTGCACTTTACAGTATTCCTTGTGCTATGTTTTGGGACTTTATCCTGAAGTGAAAGATACTATACAAAATGTAAGGATTGTTTATTATTTTACCCCCAGAGCTGTGACTTGGTCCTCTCCTGTTCAGCAACTTACCCTTATCTATATACTGGCTCTTGGTGACTTCAGTGATGCAGTTATCTCTACGTACCTCTGCCACTGTCTTGTATTCCTGGACCTTTACTGTTCAACTTGATTGCATGTCTAACATCAAGTCCTGTATGAAACATAACTTTCTGCTGTTGAACATCAACAATACTGAATCTTGTTTGATTGTTGCCAGCAACTTCATGTACCATCATGTCAATGGTCTAATTGACAGGAAACTGTGAGGATACATGTTTTCACTATTGTTTAAATAGGTTTTGGTGCAAGGATTTGACTCATTTAGATGGAACTTAAACAAATTCTTCAATGGGAATATTTTTCCAATCTAATTGATGTGAGTTTTCCAGGCTTCAGCGGTTTTTAATCCTTTACCAACCATGGTAAAAGGAAATGGTTGTACATGACAAGTTAACCTTTGACTTAATTTATTTACTGAATTCAGTTTTGTTACTGGTCAATCCATTTCATAAGCATTTTGTTTCTGGCCTGTTCATTCAAAGTTCTGATATTGACTACCTGGGATAACATGTAGCTCAACTAATTTGACACGAGATGTAGGACCAAATAAGTCCTCGGTTTGAATCCATATCAATCACATGCGCAAGTTCTCTCTTCTTCCTGCTGAATATGCACCACCACCACAACAACAACAACAAAATTTCATTTGTAAAGCGCCTTTCACGTCAGGAGGATGCTACAAGGTCTGCTGGACAGACAGAATTACGGACCCGGGGTGGGGGAGGGGGGAGGGTAAGGGGGGAAGCACAGCTGAAGAGGAGGGTCTTGAGGTGGGCCTTGAAGGTGGCGAGGGAGGGGGAGAGCTGGAGGGACTGCGGGATGGAGTTCCAGAGGGCGGGTGCAGAATGGCCAACAGCCCACCCGCCAATAGTGGGGCGAGCAAGGCGGGCGATGTGAAGCAGGTCGGAGCCCGCTGAGTGGAGGGAGTGAACAGGATGGCAGGGGTTAGTAGGTCGGAGAAGTAGGAGGAAGCAAAACTGTGGAGAGCTTTGAAGGTGAGGACCAGGATCTTGAACTGTATCCTCTACGTGATGGGAAGCCAGTGGAGACGGGCGAGGATTCGGGTGATAGGGTCACGGAGCCTGGTGCGGGAGAGGACATGGGCTGCAGAGTTCTGGATGATCTGCAGCCTATGGAGGGAGGAGTTGAGGAGGCCGACAAGCAGAGAGTTTGCATAGTCAAGCCTTGATGTAAAGAAAGCATGTATAAGGGTTTCGGCGGCCTGCAGTGTGAGACAGTGGCAGAGCCGGGCGATGTTGCGGAGGTTGGGGAAGGCAGAACGGGTCATGGCACAGATGTGGGGTAGAAAGGATAGTTGCGGGTCAAGCAAGACCCCCAAGGTTCCGGACTGGCTTAGTAAGGTGGAGTGTGCAACCGTGGATGGTGATGCTATCAGCGCCTGAGGTGAGAAGATGCTGACGGGAGCCAATCAGGAGAGCCTCGGTCTTGTTGACGTTCAACTGAAGAAAGTTAGCTCTCATCCAGGACTTGATGTCTGACAGACATTCTGTCAGGACAGCAGTGATCCTGGAGTCAAGGCTGGAAGCAAGAGATAGAGTTGGGTGTCATCCGCATAAATGTGTAAGTGACCCCATGTCTGTGGATGATGTCACCAAGAGGGAGCATATAGATGTTGAAGAGGAGGGGACCAAGGACAGAGCCCTGAGGAACACTTACCTGGTCCAGGGGCTAGAGGAGAAACCGTTTAAGGAGATGAAGTGCAGGCAATGTGAGAGGTACGATCTGAACCAGTCAAGGACAACGCCGTGGAGGTGAGAGAAGAGGGTGGATGAGGATAGAGTGGTCAATGGTGTTGATAGCAGCAGAGAGGTCAAGGAAGACGAGGTGGCAGAAGGAGCCCTGGTCGCAGGTGGACAGAATGTCATTTGTCACTTTGATTTCTGCGCTGTGGGAGGCATGGAAGCCCAATTGGAGGGGTTCGAGAAGGGAGTGGGAAGCAACAACTCATTCCAGGACCTTGGAGAGGAAGGGGAGGTTGGAGATGGGACGGTGGTTAGGGAGCCGGATGGAAGATTCACAGGCTGGAGCTGAGGGAGGCTGTAGGACGGTCGAGCAGGGATAGGAGTCAGGGAGGGCGGTGGCAGAGGAGGACTGAGCGGGAGTAAGTGAGGGGAGAGGGGTGGGGACATTATGGGGAAGCAGTTCGGGTTGGTGGCAGCAGCCAAAACACGCACCCCAAGACTAAAAGCAAACGGTGGGGGTGGGGAGGGGAGAGGGGCAGTCAGCGAGACATGGTTAGCCCACTGGTGAGAGTCATCATGAGCAGTGGGGACAATGTTATAGTCAGGACAGTAACTGATGTCATCATTGCCAGCAAGCTTTGGGGGCTGGGGCTGTAGTATTACCTTCAGTCCTTGTCCGGTGGAGAATCCAATATGTACACTAATTATGACGGCCCCTCCCATTGTGAATATAAAACAGTACAAATCGTTTGTGTGTGGGCCGGGGGGCATGTCTGATATCACTGCAACATCCTCCTCCATCACCTCTCCTCTCACCTCAACCTTCATGATCCTGTCCTTGACAGGTACAGGTCCTACCTTTTAGACCATCTCCACTTTGTCTCCACAATCGGCTTCTCCTCCAGCCCCTACACAGACTCGTGCTACGTTCCTCAGGACTCTGACCTTAGTCCCCTCCTCTTCAACCTGTACATGCTCCCTCTTAGTGATATCATTCGCAGACATGGGGTCAACTTCCACACGTATGTGGATGACACCCAACTCTATCTCTCTGCCTCCACTGGCAATCGGGCCTTCACTTTCTCTGCCCCCACCCTTTGGAACTTCATTCCACAGTCACTTCACCTCACACCCACCCCACACCCCTTATATCCTTCAAGGCACTTCTCAACACCCTATTTGACCATGTCTTCAGTCACCCTCCTACCCCTACCCTCTCAGCACTCCACCCACCTTGATCTCAACCCCCAGCTCAGGTTCAAATCTCTGACTGTCCAGCGCCCTGTAACGTCCTCCCGAAGTGAAAAGCGCTTTACAAATGTAATTTATTGTTGAAGTCGATATATGCATCATCTGTGTTGTTAGGTGGGATTTTATTGTGATTTTAGGTTTGCAATTAAGTTGTTACTTTTTATTTATCTGAGGAGAATCCCCCACAAAACACAGTCACACCCTTATAGTATATCCTGTGAGTCTGTTTAAGATGTCTCAAAGACGTGATATGACGGTATATAATAATAATAATCCTTGCATTCGATGTAGCACTTTTCACGTCTTCGAGACCTTTCAAAGTGCTTCACAGAATATACTGTAAAGTGAATTAACCGTATATTTGTGGGCAAAACGCAGCAGCCAATTGCACACACCAGTGTCCCACAAACAGTTGTGGATTGAAAATGACCAATTTATTATTGTTTTGTTTTGGAGGGATTATTATTAGGCGTGTGGAGTAAGGAAACTTGTCCAAGGTTTTGCTCTGCCGGGAATTGAACCCAGGTGTCTCGCTGAGCTACAGGACTCCACGATATCCATATCAAATGTAAGGATTATTATTGTTATTTTATTTGTGCGTTTTGATACATAATAATCCTTACATTGACTGTTGAGAAATTTGAAGTTTCTTGTGCAATTTTTGTAGGCCAATAAAGTGAATAAGAATGTATTTTTGAAAAAAAATAAATCTGATTGAGCTGTTTCAGTGTTTTGGATAAATTCCTAAGTGTGTGTGTTTTTTTTTCAGGTGCATTCATCGTGTGCTGGACTCCAGGCTTGGTTTTGCTGTTACTGGATGTCTTTTGCTCTAACTGCAACGTCCTGGCTTTTGAGAAGTTCTTCCTCCTGTTGGCCGAGTTCAATTCCGCAATGAATCCCATCATCTACTCCTACCGTGACAAGGAGATGAGTGCCACTTTCAAACAGATCATGTGTTGTCAGCGGAACGAGAATAGCAATGGGGCAGCAGAGGGCTCTGACCGCTCTGCTTCCTCGGTCAATCACACCATCCTTGCTGGGATACACAATGACCATTCAATGGTATAACTAGAACAGGAGTAGCAGCTGTCCAGCTGTCCAGACCAAGACTCAAGGGGACAGCCAGATGTGAATCAGCTGTGGAGTAGTGCATGGAACACTGAACATTAAGTAAATGTGAAGAGCTATTCACATTCTAAGACTGAGCTAAGACATCCTTGAAAAATACTTCCGTCTTAACAGGACCAAGTGTAACACTTTCTGTTACAATACCAGTCGATGTCTTAGGTTCTTAATGTTGTTATTACCTGCTAAACCGCATATAGCTGTAGAAATTATGCCTTTAAAAAGAATAATAAACACATTTATCCACACCATCAGCATGCTTGTGATGGACTTTTACCTAGCAGACAGATTCAACCTTTTAAAGCATATAAGTTGTGAAGTTTTCCTATGAAGTTTGAAGCTCTAAAGGAATTGCTAACTTATTTTGGGATATACCTGGACAATATATAGATCCATATAAGTCACTTGCAGAATTGGGACAGTTTGTTTAATGAAACAAGATGCACCTAATTGGATCCCAATTCATTTAACTTAATTCCAGTTTGGGATTCACCGTTTGGGGACCTTCACTATACTTGACGGAGAAGATGTTGTGAATCACTGTCTGGTAATGGTACTTGTGCATTTTGTGAGGTAGTCTCTATCAATAAAAGCCATTCTAAATGCATGCCCATTGTTGCAAACAAGGTTAACAGCAATATTATAATGTTTAAATTGCTGCTAATTTCACACTGCATTATCACATTGCTGTTTTGCCGCTTTCAAACACAAGTTCATAATGTTGAAACATAGTTTTAATATAATTAGGTGAGCCAACAAATCCGCTTTATTTAATGAGCTCTAACCTTCTGTAACCACATTACATGATGTGGCAATATTATCTGATTTGTGATATCGGAGTATGAATGTCACATTTGAACTTCAAGCTTAGAAACTTTGCTTCGAAAATCTAGGCAAACTAGTTGGCTTATGTGCTTTTCAAAAAAAGTTAGTTTTTAAAAGGCTTGTTTTTTTGTTAATCGAACAGTCTTGCATGCACAGTGTATATTATGTGTTCCTTATGGCCAAAGTACTGTATGTATGTACTAGCTGTTGCATTTAGCGAGCCCTTCAGAGTCTGTACTTACTAATAGTAAGGCAATGCCAATGATTATTTGGGTGATATTGTGATTTATAGACTGTTGTGTTGGATGTTGATCCACTGTATGTAGGAGATCATGCTCTGAAGCTCTTTAACGAATTGTAAAAATTCCTAGTAGCCAAATGGAGTCTCCTTAAATAATGAGTGGCATATATTAAAGGTGTGACCTGGGAAACAGTAATGACCCAAATGCAACCCTGTACTTTTGAATCAACCCACTGCTTATGTGGGAAGAAAATGTCTCTCAACAGTTGATGAATTTTCTTTTCATTCAGATTGTGGAATGATTGGTTTAAAAAAAATTCAAATTCTGTGCTGATTTTATATATATATATATATATATATGAAAATCGACTCTGAAGGGTTTAGTTCAGTGGTCCAGAGAGGGAATTTTTAAACTTTCGTTGAAGGGATTGTAAGTCAAGAGGAAGTTTGTTTCCAAAGTACCTGAATTGTTGATGCTATAAGCAGATTTTTGAAATGTTAGATTTTGATAAATTCATACTGTATATGTGCATTATTGGACCATTACTCTAGTTTATAAAGTGTAGTGGCAACAATAAAGTAATGTGTATTAGCAATAGTTAATGCACCGGGAATGGAAGTGTTGGATATACAATTCTCTTCCAAAGTTTTTAATACTTAACTATTGTGTATATTTCATGGATTAGGTACAATTTGTAGATTTTTTTAAATTGGCATTCTTTTTAAAATGCGTCGACCCTATGTTTATTGTTCAAAGCAGCATCTCGTAATTTGTCAGATTCAACAATGTTTTATTTCCAGGTAAGACTTATTACTAGCCAGGTAAATGTTCTGCCACGAAGTGCACATGCAGTTCATGGAGTGACCTGTGCACCAGTAGGGCAAATTTTCACTATAAGCAGTGATCACTGTTCACCACTGCAGGATATAATTACAATGTTAATGCATCTACTTTGTAGCAGCACACAGCTCCATTGTACAGCTTGTGTAACTAGTAGTTTTTGTTTGTATTAGCAAATGCTACTGTGACAGATATTTCAACCCCAATTTTATACAAGTCCATATTGTGGTCAATACTTAACCTTTAACTCAACCTGAATCGCTTTTTCATTCTTGCGTCTAAATAAGCTAAATCAAAAGCCTCATTTTACACATCGCCCAGTAACATCCACTTGTGGGTAAGTGAATAATAGCAGGCGGGTTAAACTGGTCCCAACTAGAAGTGAATGTTGGACAGAGGAGAGAAAAGGGGTTACAAGTGTGAGGATTCTTCAGTTTCAATAAAACTTCCTATGATAGTGCCAACTGGGCTTGGGATGTGGGGGTGGGGAAGAGGGGAAGAAATTGGAGAGAAGATGGAGCATCCACTTAATCCTTTGAACCATTGCAAAATAAGATTTTTTTTCCATTCATGACAGCCTTCCACTGTTAAGTCATTCCATAATGTAACTTCTGTAGCTGTATTCGCAAAAAAATCTTTTTATGACTAATAGCAACCTGTAAATTAAGTTAGTTAAACAAAGTATGATATTAATGATACCCAAGAGTTTCAGCTTCTCATAACACTAATGATGTTTTCACAGATGTATTCACAGATAATTGAGTGAAAATGTAAGAAAATCAGTCTTAAAAAATATTCTAAACATATGGATCAGCTCTACATAAATTGATATCATTTTTAACTTCCCATTGTTGTTTTCTTCTGTGTTTTTTTATATAAAAAAATAAAAGTCCTTGTTTTGGATACAAAATGTTTAGAAATAATTTATTTGCATTGCACAGTGACCTGCAGCATCTTAGCCTGCGTTTGTCAAGTCATCACTGCACAACATCGCTAATTGGTGCTATGAGGTTCTGTAAAAAATTTTAGTAGAACACTGAAGAGTTAAGTGTTTTTCCCAACAGCAAGGCACCAGGACCTCATCCCCTTTTCTCACTAATTCTTTATGAATCCCAGTCTGCCTTGATCCAACATCTGAAGAGACGAGACTGAAGGAAGGGACTTCTGATACTCTTTCAGCAGATATGAATGAGCTAGCATTAACGCTGTTTTCAAACCTCTTCATAGTTATGCACAACAGGTATCCTAGAAACTGCAAGGTATCTCAAGCAATTATTAAAGGAGATCCTGGTCTCTAGTGGGGGAGAGGGTTCTTTGTGGGTTCTACAAAGAAACTGCACCATGCACAGGTCTGGTGTTTCTTTGCTGATAACTATTTGGTCAATTTTATGAAGTTGAACCCACAAAGCAGAGCTCACATAAATGCCAATAATAACAAGACCAGACAGTCAAAAATGAGTTCTCCACAAATAAGGATCAGACCATCCTTTCATTGATGGAAAGTGGGGAGGGCGGGGTTTAAGAGAAACAGAGCAGACATAGTTGTCATGTGGGGGCGAGACATAATCAGTCAGAATAAAGAAACCTTACAGACCAATCCCTACTTCACATTATGCAATAAACCTGGCTGGTTTAGCATGTTTGTTATGGAGACCGCTAAAGAGGTATTGCAAACAGGAATGAGATGTTGGTTAACAAGAACTGGATTTTATGGCTCAGAAGAAGAATCCAGACTTTGGAAGCACCAACAATAGATTCAACAGTCATCCTGCTTATCATCAACCAGACTCTTTACAGCCTGTGGCATTATGAATTATACCTTACTGCAGCATGCACTAAGTGTCAGCCAACATTGAGACTTTTAACATATAGTCTTGGTTGTTGCTCCAGTGCAGCGCTGAGGCATTGGCAAAGGTGTCGTTCTTGAGATGAGATATTAACCAGAGACCTTGTCTGCCTATTCAAGTGGACAAAATTCCTGTGGCACTGTTCAAAAAGAGAAAGGAGTTTCTTCCAATGCCCTAGCCAATATCTTCCCCCCACCCACCACTACACACACAAAAAAATGGTGACTCACTTCACGGCTTGTGGGATGTTGCTGGGTGCAAATTGGGTGCTGCGTTCATCTACAAAACACGTAGTTTATAGTACATTCTGTGAAGCGTCTCAAGATGTCACCCCCACCATGAAAGGCTCTTTATCAAATGTAAGGATTATTACTTTCCTGCTGACTGCAGGGATCTCCAGACGAGCCCATTCCCAAGGATGATTTCTGCAGAAATCCTTCTCTAACACTAGAGGGTGATGTAGATGCAGGGACGCAGCCAAAAGAGCATCCTGTTCCCCAGAGCCAACCAGTGGTAAAACGTTACCATCTCCCTTCTGGCCGACCTTGACCGCAGTGGGGTTGTGATCAGGATGAGAATATTGCTCGCACTCTTCACAGTCCTACTTAGGCCTGACTCTTACCCCCTCCCCAAGTCTATTTAGTTATGAATGGTCTCACCTGCACCCAAGTAAAGGAACAATTGCTCAAACAATACAATACACGAGCATGCCAATGTCAACATACAAACTCCATATTGATAAAATCTACCAAATCCCTTTGCCTGAATTGTTCTGAAAACCTTGCTCTGTTGAAGGAGTTTTTTCCCTCCTCAGATCCTGATCTAGACCCACAGAAATGATTGTCAAGTTTGGAGTGCATCTTTCTTGGTCACCCGGCGAGACTTTGTGCCCTCATACCTGTATGTGGATCCAAGACCTTCTAAATAGTCTACTTTCCTATTGCGGACCTTTCTAGAGAAACAAGCAGCTGGACGCTTACCAGGTATATGGTGGTTTTAACTGGTTAAACACCAACAGTACCTCAACACACACCCTGGTGTCCCCAGGAGTGCATTCCATCCCAGACACAATTTCCATGTGTAGGTTGATTGTATACATGAAACTATCAGTCTGCTTTGGATACTCTTTAGCATGATGATGGGCTTCAGCATGTGTCAGGAAATAGTTTTGTTTGGGTGGCAGGGAGTGATCTTGGTGCTGTGAGAATCTGAGAATATTAACTATTATATACTGTGTTATATTACATACTGCGAGGGAGACTGAGACACTGCATGGTCTGAAAATAATACTGCATGTGTCAACACAGAGTCTCGGGCCTCACCTGCTGCTGTGAATGCCAGCTGCAAAGGTGATAGGTGAAAAAGTGAAGGTGAAAGAGGAGAGTGCGAGAGAGAGGAATGTGAACATGACATGAAAGAGGTGACAAAAAAGGAGACTAACGGGAGAAAGTGCCTTTCTAGTTGCCTTTCCATTATTGCCTGCTGAAGGATTTCAGCAAACTGATGAGGTTTGTATTAATCTGCATGCGGTTGGGAGTGCAGCTGGATGCTAATTGGGCTTAGATTCCCCTGTGTTATAGAGGGGAAAGTGAGCTAGTGTTCCTCTTGAGTTATCCAGAGAGCGCTGCTGGAGGTTGTATGTGTGTGGCCTTCAGACTATAGACTTGCCTGTGTTTCCGCAATGCCAAATATTCTGTCAATATTCTCATTCAAGACTTACACGTGAAAAAAGGTTACTTGGGCAAGTACCAAAGGGCACTGGTGGAGTTATTTTAAGCGCTTTGTGATGGCCTCTCGATGTGAAAGGTGCCATATATATGTAATTTGTATTCCATTGTGTTTCACAGGAGTGGCACCTTTGGGAGAGAAAAATGTGTGGGGATAAAATTGATGAGAAAATTTGTTACCTAAGGTATTGGTTTAAGGTATACAATCATTGCATCACATTAGCTGAACGTGCATTCTGAAATTGGCTAAATTGCCATCGACATGTATAGTCCTTATTAGACTGAACCACAGAATTTGTAATTAAATTAACAATGAATTATCTCTTTTCCCCTAGTAACTAGCATTATTCATCTGGAAATATATGTATGATATATACATGACCTCAGTTTCTGTGGAAACACTTAACCCTCCGCAGCCATTCAATGGAATTGCCAATCACACAAACTATTGTGAAATAAAAAACAACTAGACAAATGCAAATTCAGAGTCGTATAACCATCCTTCTATATTTCCAGGTAAAAGAACATTGTACTATAGCCCGGAAAATGAGAATCTATGAGAACTCATTTAATAAAACAGTCTGATGCTGTAATGAGTAAATAATAGAGGTGCTATTCTAAAAGGAAGGAATCAAGGAAGAGATGATGCAACTTTGTCAACTAAACCTCTTAGGAACTGTACCACCAAGGCAACTGTCAACATTTTAGTAGTGAACATAATAAAATTTCAACACGTACTGTCTTTACCAGCATTTGGAAAAAGTTTTATTGATTTTTTTTGTGAATTAATCACACCTGGTTCTTCTCTTTTCCCAAACCAAAATGGATTTGTCAAATGGTTCATGAAATCTGTGGCACCTTCTGAAATGGGCGAATGATTGTAAGAATGCTGTGTATGTCTGGAGCA